AAGCCATGAGTAGAGTTTTAGGGAGAAGAGGTAAGTCAGTTGACGAGGTTGTGAACCTTCATCGATTGAGATGACTGGTTGGGACACGTACTACGTATGCCTAGTCACCGATTGCCTCGTCACACAATGTTGGCTGAGGTGGGTCCAGGCTGGAAAAAGGCCCGAGGTGGCCAGACTAAAACATGGCACCAATGTATGAAGTCTCTGACTGTTGGTTTAAGCCATGTAGGACGATGCAGACTAGGTGGTTGGGGTCCACGGGACAAGAGGAACCAGTGGTTGGAGGCTCTAGGTGATATGGCTCAGAACCGAAGTCAGTGGCGCAGATGTATACACACATTATCCTCATCTTAACAACGCTATACCGAATCTCACTATTTTGTCACTCCTCTTTCCTTTCTTCTCATACTTTATATTTCTTTTGACTGCATTCACTTATCTTCATCCTTCACCTCACTACCTTTTTACTTGATGTGCTGATATGAGGTGTGGCAACTCGGACCGTTACGCAGTAATGCCTGGTCCTATGTTGATAATGATGATGATGATGATTAGCGGTTATATTTGTTTTACGGGGTAGGGTTGCTAGCCCTATGCCCAACCTTCCCTCTTTACCCGGGCTTAGGACCGGCTAGTAACTAGTGAACTAGTTGACCAGGTGAGGTTTTATATATATATATATATATATATATATATATATATATATATATATATATATCCCACGATTGAAGATCTCTGATAGTATAATTGAGGAATTTAAAATCTACACTGCAGTGTAAAAATCACTACAAATAGCAGCATGATGATTTTTTCTTACATTTTGCACCTGTAGATGCATGCAAACACGATAGCTGCTACGTTGACATGGTGGTCGGGCTTGCATATCACAATGACCCAACAAGCTATGCTGGTGGAACACTTGTTCCCTCGAGGTCCTACCATACCACAAAGGTCTGTTGGATAGTGGTTAGACGAAAAGCAGTTACCAGTATAGTGTAAATTGCTACACTATGATGGGGGTCTGAGGGCGAAGTCGTACTGCTGCTAGCTGGATGGGGTGTGACAGCAGTAAGGTGTTTCCCTTGGATGACCAGCAGTGCCATGCTGATGCTGCCTTCTCAGTGGAAGGGGGGGTTAGAAAAGGTCGGCCCCAAAAATAACACACTCCACCACGCCCCACGGTCTGCCGGGCCGGCGGTGTTGGTTCACTTGTCGTTTCCTTTCGACCATCCGGCCCCAAAAATACAAAAGCTCAAAATAATCATACTCAAAAGGCTTCGTGTGACAGGCCTCAAGCAGATGTTCGATGGGCTCTGCGGTCACACAAATCTCTTTCAGGTACCTTAAGAAGAAATAGCCTTCCACGGTGTGGGCAGCCGGGAAGTGTCAACCGCCCTCACAACTCTGTCAGCACTCAAGTTTCTTCTGACTGCTATCCTCCTCCTCCATCATTACCTTCTAATCTTCCTTCACGTCTCTTAATTAATGATGCTGCATCATCTTCAATTTCTCCTACCTCTGCAGCCTTCGACAACGATCTGAGTCCACAGAACAGCATCCTTGGTCTCCTTAAACCACGCTCCAAATTACATATTGGAGCCTTCAATGTCCGCACCCTCCGTCAAATTGGCCAACAGGCTTCGTTGGCAAAGACTCTAGCAACTCGGAACATGGATGTGTGCTGTGTTTGTGAGACACGCATACAGGACCCAAGTGTGGTTATTCACCTGACCTCTCCTGACCAATCTGGTGAATCCACAAAATTCACCCTTCGAGTTTCTGGAGATTCGATAGCTAGCTCTCGTGGTCTTGCAGGTGTAGGTATAGCATTAAGCACCAGGGCAGAAAACTCACTACTAGACTGGATCCCAGTTGATAGTCGCCTCTGCGCTATGAGGCTGAACGGCACAGTGAGAACTAAAAGGAATAGTGAGACTCGCCGTTGTCTCTTTGTAATCTCTGCTTACGCACCCACTGACTGCAGCTCGGATGAAGTGAAGGACGAGTTCTACCATAAACTGTCTAACCTCCTCTCGAAAGCCAAACGTTCGGACGTAGTGGTTGTTGCAGGTGACCTCAACGCACAGGTGGGTAGACTGAGTGAGGCAGAAAGGCACTTAGGTGGCACTTTCGGAATCCCAGCTGAACGTACAGATAACGGTGATCGCCTATTACAACTATGCTCAGATAACCGCCTATTTTTAGCCAGCACAAATTTCAGACATAAAGAAAGGCACTGTCTGACCTGGCGTCCACCGAGCTCAACTCAGCGATGGACACAGATAGACCACATTGCTATTAGTCATCGCTGGAGAGGATCGGTGGAAGACTGCCGCTCCTTCTGGAGTACGTGTTTGGACAGCGATCATGCGTTGGTCCGAGCACGTATATGCCTGCGTCTCAATGGACTTAAGAAAACTTTGGCAACATAACCACTATAAGTGCTGCCGACCAAAGAAAATATTAAAGCCGTGTTAAGTGAGAAGTTGGCTAGGCAGTTATTGGAACAAAAGACCATCACTCATCCAGAAGAAACTGGGTACCATCTCCAGTTTGCCGTAAAAGCAACGCTGAGGACCGTGGCCGACTCCGAAAGAGTGGCTAAAAAGAGTCAGTGGATATCAACAGCTTCTTCCAAACTAATGAATGCACGTGAACGCATCCCTGCAGACTCTGAGTACAATGAAGAGCAGGCACCATAGCGGAGAAGCACGGATCTGCAATTCACTCACAGGGAAGACGACTGGAACAATGGGTAGAACACTTCGAGAAACAGTTTAACTGGCCTCCAGCCACGATTGCGTTGCCCGCTATCCAGTCGGATCCTGAATCGGACATAGAGATAGGTCCCCCAGCACTAGAAGTTGAGAAAGCGGTAGGTAACCTGAAACGAGGAAGGGCAGCAGGACCAGACGGACTACCTGCTGAGGTATACAAGAATGGTGGTAGAGTGCTCTTAGTCAGGTTAACGGAGGTGTTAGCCAGTATATGGGAATCAAATACGATCCCCTCTGACTGGTCTAAGTCACTGATTATCCCAGTCTTCAAAAGAGGCGAGAAGTCCTCTTGTGATAACCACAGAGGAATCAGCCTGACGAACATAGTATCCAAAATCCTAGGTTCTATAATTCTCCGACGCCTGAGTGGAGCTCGGGAACAGCAAGCCCGAGAAAACCAAGCAGGCTTTAGACCTGGCCGTGGATGTATCGACCAAATATTCACACTGCGCCAGGTCCTGGAACATAGGCATGCTTACAGACGCCCGACAATAGCTGTATTTCTCGACATAAAGAAGTCTTATGGCAATGTCTGTCACTGAAAGGCGTGCCTAGTAAGTACATCACCTTATTGAAAGCTCTCTACTCGAACACTTGTGGGCATGTTAGAGCCTATGGTGAGTTGTCCAGGGAGCTATACTCATCAAGTGGTGTCCGTCAAGGATGCCCACTATCCCCATTCTTATTTAATTTTATCATAGATATTCTTATGGAGGTTTCCTCCTCGTCACCTAATTACACAGACGTTGACCGAATCACAGGTGAATTTTCTTTAGATCTAGAATATGCAGATGACATAGTCCTGTTAGGTGAAGACGCTGACAAGATGCAGAGTCTTCTGAACACTTTGAGTGGGAATTTGAGAATGTTTGGGATGCGATTTTCACCACCCAAATGCAAATTTTTGCTCCAGGACTGGTCTTCAGCGGTACCGCGGCTAACAATAGAGAGTGAAGTGGTTGAGTGTGTTGACCACTTCACTTACCTGGGAAGTAGGATCAACCCTGGTGGGTTAGTGGCCGATGAGATTTCTGCACGGATACAAAAGGCTCGATTGGCTTTTGCCAATTTGCGCCACCTATGGCGCCGCCGTGATATTCGTTTTTCTATTAAGGGTCGCGTGTACTGCACAGCAGTCCGCTCTGTTCTACTGTATGGCTGTGAAACATGGCCATTGAAAGTGGAAGATATAAGAAGGCTTCAAGTGTTTGACCACCGTTGCCTTCGTAGTATAGGACGTATTCCGTGGTGTCACCATGTGAGTAATGCAGAAGTTATGAGTAGAGTTTTAGGGAGAAGAGGTAAGTCAGTTGACGAGGTTGTGAACCTTCATCGACTGAGATGGTTGGGACACGTACTACGTATGCCTAGTCACCGATTGCCTCGTCACACAATGTTGGCTGAGGTGGGTCCAGGCTGGAAAAAGGCCCGAGGTGGCCAGACTAAAACATGGCACCAATGTATGAAGTCTCTGACTGTTGGTTTAAGCCATGTAGGACGATGCAGACTAGGTGGTTGGGGTCCCCGGGACAAGAGGAACCAGTGGTTGGAGACCCTAGGTGATATGGCTCAGAACCGAAGTCAGTGGCGCAGATGTATACACACATTATCCTCATCTTAACAACGCTATACCGAATCTCACCATTTTGTCACTCCTCTTTCCTTTCTTCTCGTACTTTATATTTCTTTTGACTGCATTCACTTATCTTCATCCTTCACCTCACTACCTTTTTACTTGATGTGCTGATATGAGGTGTGGCAACTCGGACCGTTACGCAGTGATGCCTGGTCCTATGTTGATATTGATTGACTGATTGCAAACACGATTCATCAGTAACTTCTATTAAAATCATTCTGCTGTATGAGATTTGGACCTACGTCATTTTAATTTGGGATCTGGTGTCCTTCACTGTTGCTGAGAAATAAACATATTCTAACTCAAAGTGTTTTGACACCCAACATTATTTATATGCAATCGATAGCAGTATACTCGCACTTTCCAGTGACCATATTACATTTCTATAATTGATAAACTACAGTGTGCACCGTAGTAGAGTACAGTATCTCATACTTCCCTTTCAGTTTCAGATTCTGTGAAAACTGTATGGGAAATATAAATAGTCTGGGAAAAATATTTTTTATGAGAAGTGTGTGTTCAATTACAATGATCTTTAGCATCTAAGAATATTGGGGAATCCGTGCATTATAAAAACAAAATGGATTGTTATCAGCAAATTTTATTATGCCGAAAATTGGAAATGAACAGACAAATCATTATTGTTTTCGCATCCCCTAAAAGTCATCATCTTCGTTCTCTTCAGGCTGAACAGTATTTTTTGAATAAGCCTGCTTATTTGTAGCTGTTTGCTCACATAAACGTTCTTTCATAATACCACGTTCGTAGACATAATCATTATTACCCATACAATCTTGACTGTCTTCATTTCGAATAATTGCAACTGAACTGCTACGCTGTAAATGTATAAATCATCGCCAATATTATTAGCATCAATGACCGACAATAATCTCTGAATAACATTTTCTGAAAAATTACTCAGAAAATTTAATGCTACAACCATATGTAAAGGTTTCCTATGAGTGAATAAAATGGTGTAAGACAGGGCCATGATATGGAGGTTTATTATAATTGTTATTTGGCCTTTAGGTTCCTAGTGGAACATAGGGCTTCAGTAGTACATCTCCATTCTACTCTATTCTCTGCAGTCCTTTTAACCTGACTCCATGACTGCCCACAAGCTTTCATTTCTTCCTCACACAATCTCCTCCATGTAAACCTCGCCTCGGACACCCAACTCGTCGTTTCACATACGGGTTCCACTCGATGGTCTGATCTGACGCGTGATATCGCCAAGTGGTCTTCTCAGTGTATGCTCAATCCAATCCATCTCCACTCTCTTCTGCATATTTGTTGGAAGATGGGTTCTTGGTTGGTTCGTTGCCAGACAGCTAGCCAGAGTTCCTTGTTACCTATTCTTATTATTCTAGCCATCTGATCTTCAGTATCAAGCCAGCGTAGGCAGCTGTTGATGAATGTCTGTAGTTTGTTGGAAATGCTTTTTGTGATGCGCCATATCACATAGAAGCACTGACTTGACTGACATTAGTGCTGAAAATCCGGATGTTGTTCACGCTTTATGCTGAGTGCAGTGCAGTGCAGTAGATCTACACACTGACTTCAGATTAATAAAGGCCTCTCTTGCTTTTCAAATCCTGGCTTTGACATCCTCATCTGTGCCACCGTCGCCTGTAGCTGAAAGGATGCTGTCTAGGCAGGTGGGTGAAAGAGACAACTTCCTTTACATTTCTCCCGTCCATCGTGATTGGTACATGTTGTTATTGTTGTTGTTGTTGTTGTTGGGTGGTGGTGGTGGTGGTGGTGGGTGGGTATCTTCATCCCCCTGTCTTCTCTACGTTCATCTGAACGTGTCACGTCTTCGCTGCCCTGCCTTTTCTGCCAACCTGTTAGTTTTGCCACAAGATATTAGACAGAAATCATCATCTGTGATACAATCCAAATCTTCTTCTAGGGTCGGTCTTTCGTCGGTCCAGCAAGCACATATCCCTCTTCTCGCTCCTCACAGTTGTCTCTTGCATTATCCAGTCCAGTCCAGTTCAGTCGAGTCGAGTAGAGTCGAGTCGACCACAATGAGGAAGATGATCAGTGATAGTAGGCAGCACACCTGTCTTACTCCTGTCTCCTGTCTTCACTTCAAAGGCATCACTGAGCTCTCCATTGTGAATCACTTTGCATGTAGTATCATATACTATAGCATATAGCTGCTGTTGAATGAGGTTGATAAGGGTTTGTTGCACTAAAACTGTAGTGTTGAAGCAGCTGCCTGTCAAATTACTTCTCGGTCAACGCTATCGAAGGGTTTTTCAAAGTAGATGGAGTTGTGGTAAAGATCCAGTTGACTGCCATTCTATGCTCTGTTCTATGATGATGCGTAGCGCAAGGGTAGCGTTGCAATTTGATCCGAGCGTGGTTTGTTTTTCCTGATGCCAGTCAGCCTGTTCCGCTAGCAATTTTGAATGCGTAGCATTTTTCAGTCTCTCCAGGATGATGTGGCTCACCATTTTGCTTCGTGTCGACAGCAGCATGATTCTGCCCAAGTTATTTCAAAGACTTAGGTCTCCCTTCTTTGGAAATTTGACAATGTAGCCCTTCTTCCAGTCAGTTGATGGGTGGGTACCTTTCTTTCCTTACTTCCAAACCTTCTGCAGTAGTGGTGTCAGCTTGCCTTCTGTTGTATCTGCATCTGTTTTCAGTGCTTCCGGTGGAATTCCATCTGGTCTTGCTGCTTTCTTGGCTTTCAGCAGCTTCATGGAGTTCAAGGCTTTTGCTTTTGTCGGAGGTCTGGTGTTCACTGGTAATTCTGGCGGTATTTCTGCATGAGTTTCAGGTTGTGGTGGTGGTCGATTCAAGAGGTGCATCATGTAGTTTTGAATAAAGTTTTTTGTTAAGATTAGACTGAAATTTTAAAAAATAAATTTTTAGGTAATTGAAGATATTGAATAAATGAACTGAAACAAATTTAAGTTTTGGGAAAAAAATATAGGGGATAATACGAAGATGCACCCACTTAAATCATAACGGTTTTAAATAACATGAAGAAATAAATGGTGTAGTGCAATCATCAAAGAAACATGATCTTGCTCATGTCTGTAGAACATATGTTGAGTTGAACCGACAAACACGAAACTAAAATAAACTACTTCTTGTTCACTAAATTCACCTACCTAACATTGCTGTTATTTATGGATGCATAAACAGCTAAAGTTAGTCAGTTTTTCAAGAAACTGTATATATTCTTTTAATCGTAGATTAGCATATTTTTCTCTTGAGTAAAATGTCTACCGCCAGTAATTAAGTGAGCCTGATAGCCATTTATGGTTTCATTTTATCAAGGCTATCATGAAGAATAAATAATTTTCCGTTAATTAATCGTTCTCTACGTAATCTTCAGAGATTTCAGAATAGGTTTGAGACATATTGATAACACACATATTGAACAGCGATTCGTTAGGAAATCGCACGGTTTAAACATCACAGTGTGTAAGCTACAAATTGACACATCCTTTACAATCATTAATGTTTCAGTTTATTATTTGCTCTGTCTATCTGAAGATAGTTTAAGCAAGTAATCAATGCTGTTCATCAAAAAGGCTAAAAGCCAGTTTCATAAACAATCTACTCAACAGGCTGGTGAGTTAACTTCATTTTCCTTTTACCAATATATTAATACCAGATTCAAGAGTGACCGGAACTAAATTGTAAGCTGATAATAGCATTTATTCAGGATGTCTCATGCTTGACACCTGCGATTCGCGAAAAAAGAAACAAGCTGCAGTGAAATGTAACCAAGGAAATCAGTTAAATGTATCGGATCCTTTGTCTTTAAGAATGTAAGATGATACGTTCAGAAAAAGTATCCGTTGTCCAACCACACAAACTGAAAAGTCTGGTTATTTCAACGGTTTTTAAATAATGAACTAAAAACGATAATTGAACCATTTCCGTCACTTGTGAAGTTGTATAAACCTTGATGAGTTGCCTGTCGATGCAAACTAAACATATCTACAAAATACTCAACCGACTTTTAAAAAAGTATTTCTTAGAGCTTTCGGAGTTACGCCCTATGTGAAAATGACCGTCGAAGTTAATGTACCTTTAAATGCTACAGATATTTCACTATCTTTACCTTGAAAACATTATTCAGGTGCGGATGAGCAATATGTAATTTGTGCACTAATTAATCCAAAAATAGAAATGAAGCAGTTGATAATATTATGATTTTTGATTTACTATTTTCTGTTTCCATCATTATTCGTAGAGTGTAGAGCGGAAAAACACTCCAAGTTCATCAATGATTGCATTATATTAGCATAGTGCTCGAGTTCACAACAGATACATGCCAATTCACTGGTTACTTCCAACTGCTGTTTTAGCTGAATTAGCAATAATTTGGAAAGGGACCAGTTTTGACCACACTAAGATGTGACATCTATCTAAGAAGTCTACTGGTTGCATTAGTTAGCTCAGGAAATTTACGTATACACAAATGCAGTAAGTGTAGCACTGGAGACGAATGATTGCAGGTTTCGAATAATGAACTTCAAAGTCAATCACAGTGACAGATACAATTACCTTCACTTAAATTCTGAAGGCTTTATCACTTGTTTTATTGCCTACACCACTACATTCCGACTTTGTGACCAGATTACAGTTTACTCTTCTATTAACCTTACGATTCTAAGCCTAATTCCACACGGGGTTATAAGTTTACATTACTTAAGTTATGGATTCATAGGAACAGTTGTTCAGTGCTTTCTGGTTTACAAAGCATTTGTAAATTATATCGATCTGTCATTAAAACAGCTTCGAACTCAAGCGATTAAAAACTTCAACATAACTTTTAAATACAAAGAGACATTGTCATTTGACCAATAATACTCTAACAGTAGGACTTCAATCTGTTTAAATCGTCTTTTTGTTATACCGTTTCTTAATCATTTGAAAGAGATTAGTCAATTAACTCATGTTCAGTTCTAAGAGGATGTATATGAACTTTTAGTACACTTATTTAGCTAATTTAGAGGGAATTCATTGCTTTTAATGACAAAACTCTCGTTCAATACAGTCTCTTTTCAGTACCAGTCTAATTCATGTCAGTTTGTGATAAGAAGTCGATTAGTACCATTTCAATCCCTAATATTAAATTTAAACGTTTTGATCGGAGAAAGCTTTTGTTATGTTTTCTGAAATCATCCATAAATGTGTATAACTGGTATTGAAGATGTGAACAGTTCTTCTGCCTATTTCTACATACATATATACCGTCAGTTGTTTTACTATTTCGTTTACTAAATATGTTTATTTGATTTTTTTCTTGTTTCATGAGTTTACACCAATTTTTATGTCTATTCTGCACGAAAACAAATATATGCTGTATACATACGTGGAGGATCTATAAAATAAAGTGGATTCATTTTATTTTGAAAATCTTGTTCCATTTTTTTCTTCATGAAAGTGATTAAGGGAAGATGGGTGTAACAAATAGATAATAAAATGTGCAAATTATTTTTAATAATGAAGTAATACGAGGTAAATGTTTATTGCAACTAAATACTTACCACATATTGATATTTTTGTAGCAGAATAAGGCCAGTTATAACTGGGAAAATACTTTCAACTTATTTCGCATGATGATTCTTCGATTATTAGAATGTACTTAATGTTGGTAGTTTTTCAGTACTGTTACGCGAAACTGTTTACCCATCGGTCAATGGGAAAAGTTTGCTCATTGACGGGTTAAAAAACAGCTGGTCAGTTTAAGATTACTGATATTATTTCTAAAGCTTGTGATATATAATGTGACAGTAAAGTGACAACCTATATATTTTATAGAAAAAAGGAATTTTGCTAATTCTCTAACTCACTTTCTGAGACCGCTTTGTTGGACGGTGATCATTTCTCTTGGATAAGATTCATCTATGTCTGAAGGTGGGTAATTATTCGCACTTGATTGGAAATTTTCATCGTTGTAGGTACTCTGAATCCTTCCACAGTTACCGGCTCCTGGAATACGATGACGGCTGGGTGACCAACCAGGTGTAAGCTGGTTTCTTACCGCTTCTCGTTTCGTATAACCCATATCACCTTTATATCGGAATGAATCACCATGTACAACTATATCTTCATCATCTTCATCACCATCATCTTGATCATTCATTAAATCGTCTTCCTCGTCATCATCATCGTCTTCCTCGTCGTCATCATCGTCACCTAATTCATTGTTAAAATTATTTGCAGAAATTGTGTTTTTTAGATTAAATGTGTCCATTTTATATCTACCATCACCACCAGAGTTCAAAACGGTCCTCTGATTTTCATCATCTCTAAACTAGTAGTAAAAATTAATAATGAAAGGAGTACTTCATTATTTTTTTAGTGTAAACGTAATAGAAATATACTCGGTTGAATAAATTAAGCCTGTAACGAGATTCAACTTTGTACAGTAAAAGTTTTAAAGCATGTCAGCTGTGTGAGATAAGTTAAACATATGATATGTGAATGACTAAGTGGTAGTATCTCATTAGTCTAGGAAAGTAAACTGTACATGAAATGCAAAAAATGATGGTGTGGAAAATGACTTAAAACCACCTCACTGAAAAGTGCTTGACCTGGTATGTCTTAAAAATGAGCAAAACAGAATTAGTTCTTTCGTTTCATTACATGGAAAAACGGAAGTGCTTAACTTTATCGGTCTAAAATGAACAATGTTCGATGTAAACGAGATAATCAAGTTTGAACCAGTGAAATATAGTAAACTGTGAGCCATTAGTTCTGTGTTCAGAATGCCATGGTCTCCTGTAGACAGGTTGAGTGAAAACAGCAACTATTGTCTGGACAGCCCGATACAGTGATCAAACCTGTGGTTAAGAAACGGCCGTATATTGCTGAGTGACCCAAATGTCGCACTAACGAACACTGAAATAACCGAATTAATTTTTCAGTGGAAATATCAAAACCAAACTGGTCATTTCATTGGTTGCTAGGTTGATCTTCAGAGTTACTCTTAGAACGTTTGTGGTAAACGGCTTATTCTGTGTTTATGTTACATCAAAAACGAAGCTTTTAATATGTCCAAAATTAAAAAAACTAGTCGATTGTTACAGTGATTGTAGAGTTGATATTGAAATTAAGTATTGTTTCTACGGTTAGACCGAATAGTAACTTGATATTGGTAATGAAGGTATCCAAATTCACATCACAAAAACTAATTATCAAAAGTAGAGTGAAATGCACACTCAATTACATTTGCATGCAAAACTCACAAATCAAAACCAGACAACTATGAATTAGTTTCATCCAGTTTTTTCACGACAGGTCTCAACAATTTCATTTATCAAATAGCTGAACTTCTGAAATTTTCCTGAAGTATTTAGTCAGACAGTTATCAGTGATATTGCTACCTTCTATGAAAAATCACATCGTTCTGAATGAAATCAGTGCAAACGAAGTGTAATGGATAACTATTTCATTGTTCTTATAGTATGCTTTGTTTCTGATATTACTTTGAAGTACATAAAGCTCAAATAACTATGCATCCAGTGAATATTCCTAAGTGCACACTAAAAGGAATGAAAGTGTGCACTAGAAATGTTTATTCTTTCCATTTCACTAAGTAAGTAACAGATATAGAAAGAAAAGACCATTGATTTTAGTTGAATGCCTTGCTATTTTCAAGGGGAGGCAAGTGCAAATACAGTACTCTTGCATATATATCCAAATATTATCGTAAGGATTCAAATAAACAATACACCAATATTATGAAATATCTAATAAAGAAACAGCACATATGACAGCGGGAAACAACATTAGGGTCTAATTAATATCCCTTTATCGAAAATAATAATGGTAATGATAATGTTTAAATAGCTCAGTGAGGAAATGGAAATTGTCTGAAAAATGTGACGTATTATCGCTATGCATTTCAAATAGTCTGGTTGCACATGAATTCGTCGAACAATTCATATTAAAACCAACTAAACTTACCCTTGTTGTATTGATTCTAGCCCTTTATACTCTGAAGGCCACGTCAACAGTAAGTAAAGTAACCAATTGGACATCTTAATTTTGTGAAAATCAGACTTAATAACCGAAATGATGAAACCTAATTGACTATTTCAGTCGTTACTTGAGTAGCCTTTATTGGTTGTGGTAATCTAACTCCTTTTTAATCTTGTTTCCTCGTTCAGTTTATAATTTTCATCAGTTATGCTTCCATTGGCTTAAATAAGCTTTCAAAGTTTTTATATATATTAGTTGACGAGTTCATGTGTGATCAAATTGTATGAAATGTATGGGGCTAGTACATCACAATTTTCAGATAATCTCCATCTCATTACATTACGTAAATTCATCGAGGAGATTAACAGTTTTAAGCCTGATATCACCTACCGAAGATATTTTCATTTGGTCAGCAATACTCTTGAGAGTGATCTCCGCATCTTCATTCATTTGGCTGATATTATGTAAGAGATATTCGTATTGATTCTCCAGGAATGCAAGATTACGAAATCTCGTCAAGTATATTGCATAGAGTGAAGACAATTCTTCTTCTAATTGCTCATATTCCTCCATATATGCAGGTCGTACGGACTGTAAGGTTACTAGACGCTTACGATTACGTTCTAATTCACTGCGTTTCTTTTCAATCTTAGCATCTAGATTCATCTCATCAGCAGCAATATTGGTAAGAGATGACTGGATTTTCTCAGTTTGAATTTTGACAGCATTTTTGGCTGCTGCTAATGATTTTTCAACGTATTCACTATCTAACTGACGTCTTAGAGAGAAATCACGAAGTTCCTTGAGATCTATTTCTTTATTAAGTAAGGAATGCAATGAAGCACCAGATGATGCAAGTTGACTACATAGACTTCTAGCTTCATGAAGCTGCTTAATCTAAAATAAAGATTTAAGTAAGTTTATTAGGTATTGAAATACTTTTAATTGTTCAATACTCACTGTGCTTAAAATTCATGAATCCGAAGGTCCACGTTTAGTGGACAAATGTCCAACTTTAAAGAGATATTGATACGGTGATTAATATCCCTTCCTCAATACCTTATGAAGACTCATTTCACCTTTCATTTGCAAAGGAATTATAAAAAGACTATTCCACCTTCAAATTGAATGACTAGTACAACTCACTTTACTCGTATGTTTATGCTAATACAATGTTGCGATGCATCCAAACAATAATCCTCACTGAATAAATTCATCAAACTTATTTATAAGCGTCGACTAATTTATTCGGTTTTTAAGCTTTTTAGCTACTTACAAGTTAAAAACGCAAACAACTCATCTTCTAAAACTGTTGATATAATTTAATGAGGAGCGTGTTCATCATCGCATTTGTAACTATTGGTAACTGATGTCCTCTCGGAAGAAAAGGTGCTTCTCCTATTACTACATGTATCAGTAAGCCTGACTGCGATGAAACAAGAGAAACAGGAATCCATTTTAGTTCATTCTACAAGATTACATGCATTATTACACATTTTTCATCTAAAATTAGAGTTTTGTAGTGATTTGAGACAGGTTTCAACTGGCTTTTAGGAGCACGTCCCAAATACTGTATACCTTAGAGAACAGAACAGCATTCAAAGCGAGGTTCCATATCTCTGACTGTGTTTGACCAGATCATCACAATTAAAAGATTTAAACCTTATCTTATCATCAAAAATGACTCATAAGTTAATTTTCAACTACTTTGTTAACCAATTCTATTGTCTTCCTTTCACTTCATTATGTCATATTTGGGATTACCACTTGCTGATCTTAACTCACGTTGATCTTCTCCATCTATGATGTTCATAATTAGTTTCCTAATGTCTTACTCAATCGATAATAAATTTCGGTACAAATTTAGTACTGCTACTTGAATTCGGTACATTACCCATCATACTGCATGTTCCGTTTGATATTTTCAGCATTCTAGTTCACAGTGTTCTGATAACAGCTGAAATTAAGAATTTAAAGATGTATTAACATTTATTCAATTTCCATAGCTAGGCTTTGTTAGTATGCTAGCAGCTAATGAGAAGGCAATAAAATAGTAGTTTGGTCTTGACCATAACTTACAAAACCGAATTTTAGTCACCCTTTGTTCTTTTTCTTTCCCTAACTTTTTTCTTTCTTATTTCAGTTCTGTTACATTACAGAGGGCAAAGAATTTCTAAGTCTCTGCACTGCATAAAGTTTAGTATTAATATACCTCTCAGACTTGTTATTTACACTTTATTTAGAAGGTTACGGTGGAGCATAAGACGAAATTATTATCAATAATTTTATCATAACAAGGCTATCAAGTACGTAAGGCTTTAAATTTTGTTTACTGTTACGTGATACTCTGTAGTGTTTTTTTCCTTGACAGTCAGTAAATAATGTTGAATCCTAGAATGTAATGAGTTGGTGATGAGATGCTAATTAAACTTGACTATTGTGTCTTCCTTTCTTCAGTGAAAATGAGACCGATGCATTACACAAGGTTGCTTTGTGAAAACAGTCAAGTGCGCTTCTACTTTAGTACAAAGTCAAGCTTACACTAAAATCTTATGTTTATGAAAAATTTCCTTCATATATCAATACCAGTGTAATAACCGAAAACACATAAGGAATGCTGATCTAAGTAAATGAAGTACTCACCAGCATATGAGAATCACATATGACCCCCCTTCGATTGACCGCAGTCACTTAGTATTACAGCCCTCAAGAAAAGAGATAATTGCTCCGCGATAACCACAGGGACAATGTTAACGTGGACCATGCAATTTGTAACTATTTGCAGACTGGTCATACTATTTAAGGTATACCGGTTCACGAAATTCAGCCAGATTCAGGTGATCTGAACAATTCGGCTATGTGATCTGAATTTGTTCAGATACACCGCTGATGAGCTAGGTCGCTAACAAGTTAGACGGCTATCCGGTGTTTGCATCACTCTGATCTAGCTGATAGAATTTGCAGGCCAGCCTGAGTGGTTTCTAACCACTTAGGTCGTTCACTAGTAAATTTTATGGGCTCAAGGATTATAGCCAGTGATATACAAATACGACAAAATAAGCTATAAAAATGAGTCATTAGACTATTAGTAGATTAGGGAAGTAGTAGGTTGCATTTGGAAACCAATATAATCTGTCTCTTAAAACCCTTGGGAACATCTAGAAAACCAAAATGGCTAGTTCATAGTAATAAAATTCGTATCTCATATTATCCCAATGAGTAGTCACCGACATAAATGTTTACTGTGGCCATTAAATTTGAGCTCGACAAATGCAAAATTACTTTGGACTTCACTGTTATTTACCATACATGTAGCGGATATTACTGACATCTAAAAAAATCTCTCAAGGGCATTTCACAGTAGATTTAACTATGATAGATATAACTGTCAGATGTTACATTATTACAATCCTGACATTTGTAGCTCATATGGTTAGCAGATTTCTTGCGGAAACGTAGGTGTTTGTATACGGTTCTCGAGACGATAGAAACCAACTGGTATGGTGATGTACCTCAAAACTAGTCAAAACAGCAGAGATATATACACTGTTTGTCATCTTAAAATACCTAAGTATTTTCATGAAAATTAATCCATTCTTTCTTTAGGCTATCTTACACTTTCGTTGATCAGAATATCACTTTTTTGTGTCATCTTGTTCTTTGTATGCTGCTGTGAACTCAGCAACCTGAAGTGATAACTTTTTGTGCCAGGCTCTATGTTGATTCATCCTTTTTTTACGACGTTTTGACAGGTATGCTGATGGTTTGTAATATGCTTGTACTTTGAAACAACATTTAATTTTCCTTTAGAGGCTAACTTGAAATGTACTGAACTCATAAATTATTCTTGTCATAACACTCTCTCGAGGTAAAATATTTATTGGTGACATATAAGTGAGTCCCAGAAACATATTTTGACTTCGTTTACATATTTTACTGCATACAAGCTACCTAAATGATGTTCTCAACAAAAGAAATACGTTCACACTGTATCTGCATGTATTTTAACAGTAATAAATGGTTATGTAAAATACATGTTTGCTGTGCCCTAATATAATAATTTTACGACTTGTGTTATGCTGAATTTATCATCAAAAGATAATTTGTGACTTTAAAGAAAATATACATAATGAAAAAGATTTCCAATTTAGCCATCACGATTAATCCCTGTATTCGTATTATTTTGAACATCTTTGGTAGGCATGATAACAACCATTCACGCAAAGCATTATCATACGCTAATTAAAATGATGCTCTGAATAACGTTTTCTTCGTAAATATATAAAGCGAACAGATAATTGTCACATTACTTTTAAGGTAATGTATGGCGCGCAGGCATTTCAACTATAAGGGATTGCGCAGTCAGTAAGGATTGGACCGTCGACAAGGACTCATCAACTGAGAACGCATGGAATAGGTTTAGGACTCTATTTGAGAAGGTAATGACGCCATTTATCCCACATTCAACCCCATGACGACCCTCACATTGACCTTCAGAGTTTAATAAGGACATCAAGAAACTATTTAGGTGGGAAAATGTTTAGGGGACTTGTTTCTAGAAACTGGACTAGAAACATTTAAAACTGGGTACTGTACAGTTCATAATCCCCGCAAAACTTTGATTAAACAGTCTCGAATGTCCTACGAGAAATAGCTTGTGATGGATTGCCAAAGTTGCCCCAAAATACTGTTTGCATTCAACAGAAGGAGGACTAAAAAAATGTTGAATTCCTTCTCTGGCGACGAATGAAAAGCTCGATAGTATAGCAGAATCAAATTTGTCCAAAGCTGAATGTCTATCGGATTGCTTTAGTGAGGTCTACTGTGTAGGTCATGACGATGGAGTGCTCAGTAGTGGCGTCAGCACTGCTCCACAAAAACACACAGTGTTCACAACAAAGGAAAGAGTCTTACAGTTGCTCATTGATCTTAAACCTGAAAAATCAACAGGTCCCGATGGGTTACATCCCAGACTACTATCTTCGCTAGCAGACATTATTGCTGAGTCAGTCACGGATCTTTTCAACATGTCTCTAACTCAGACTTTCCGCCCTAGAGACTGAAAAGATACTATAATCAGCCCAGTTTTTAGGGCCAGTAGTCGCTATCTGATGTCTAACTATCGTCCTGTGAGTCTAACTAGTATGGTTATTAAGATTTTAGAAAAAATAATTCGTGATGAGGTACCCAAACATGTCAACCAATCTTTTGGCACCACAGCAACACAGTTTCATACTGGACACTCCTGTCTAACTTATCTCCTTACCAAAAGAGCGGAATAGGTTGCAGCTCATGATTGCAAGTTGCCAATAGATGCCATGTTTATAGACTTCAGAAAGGCATTTGACAAAGTGTCGCATGTGAAGTTACTAGAAAAGCTCTCCTCCTTCGGGTTTAGTGCTTCATCTCAAGCATGGATTGGGGACTTTCTGTACGACAGAAGGCAGAGTGAGGATAAGTGTGATATTGTCTGGTTGGAAATTTGTGATGAGTGGAGTTCCTCAAGGAACAATCCTAGGTCCACTACTTTTCTTGTTGAATTACAAAAACTGCTCAACTCTTTAGTAGTGCTATTTCCCGGTGATGTGGATATTTGGAGGGCCACAAGCAGTGATGCGGAGAGGTATGCATTTCAAGCGGATTTAGATGAACTAGTAGGTTGGTCTAAACGTTGGTGCCTGAAAATCAACTCTAACAAAAGTGCAATCATGCAAATTGGTCATAGCAATTGTTTCCAGTTTCCCGTTTATGATACACCACTACTCCCAGTTTTTAAATGAAAGACCTAAGTGTCATCACTAGTCATGATTTGAAAACCTCGGCAAACTGTAATGCAGCTGCAGTAAAGGGCTTTCGTATATTATGGTCCATCTGCAGAGCTTTCAAAAGTTTTGATCAGGACATGTTCAGAATACTCTATTCTACTTACGTTAGACCTCATTTGGAATACTGCATTCAGGCGGCCAGCCAATGCCTAAAAAGGATGCTGACGCACTCAAGCGTGTTCAAAGGGTAGGTGCTGAGCTTGTGGCATGCCTTCCTAATCTGTCTTATGAGGAACGATTAGATCAGCTGTATTAACTGTAGGAAAAGGGATGATCTCATAATGGTAGTTCGTATTCCTAATAATAACTTCGGTGCTGACATGTCCTATCTTTTCCCCCTGCTAGAACTGACTATCTCTAAAGGCATAAAAAAACCGTGATCGAATCAACTTAGCGTGAATCTACGTTTCTCCAATCGTGTTGTCAACGACTGGAAATCCTTACCTCAGCAAGCAGTATCAGCACCTTCTGTCAATGTGTCCGAGGAGAAACCAGATCTTCACAGAGATATCTTCTGTAAAAACTAACATAGGCCTACAGGCCTACTATCCTTATAATTGAAAACTGGTAATGTCAAGATTTGTAAAACACACAAGCACTCAATATTTTCGTAAAAACAACGTGATATGCTTACTTTGGCAACATCAAATGTTTCCGATATGTTAAGAATATTTTGTTCATCTTTAAATTCAGTATGACTGTTGTTCAGTGCTTCATATAAAATTTTGGTTATTTTCATGAGTTCCCTTACTGCAAATCCATCAGCTTGATACAGCTTTTTGCTGTTCAGTCTGATACATGCCTTAGAAGAGATGAGGTGAGTCGCAACTTTAATAAACAATACACGATCTTGTTCTGAGTCAAGACATACTGGTAAATCAGCATAAGAGTCGTATCGTTCAATCAGCCACCTTAGAATTTCTGCAATCAGAAGAAAGTTTGGTGTTCGGAAATTTTCCATCGATATAACTCTTGGGTATCCCAGAGATCGCATTATTTCTGTGAATAATCGCATTTCACGGAAAGACATCGTGATTTTCTTTTCGTTGGATGTTGCTAAGATACAAAATGCCGCTATGTACAAAGTACAAAAACGGAAATTCAATATTCAATGACTTGGAAAGAACTGTTTGTGATTTGGTTGATAAACTTCCGCTTTTAAGTCTTGGGGCTGTTTTCTTATACTCGGTTCACCTCTTCTGTTTGAAAAAGGGAATGGGGTTCCCGTTCAGCTGGATTCTTGGCAATTTTTGCGCTTATACATCAGAGGCTGTTGTATTCTTGCTCTAATCGGAATATTGTTGGGTTAAAGTGAGGCAGGAACTTTTGATGGGTGAATTTCCGTAATTTCTGCCACATGGTGAGCCAAAGGTGCAGTAAAATGCTCGTGGCAGAGCCAGGTGCCAATTCACAGAGGCCTCTGTTACGCAGTGTAGCGAATGTTAGAGTTAGTTCCACGACAACTACACAAGCCTCACACACTCAGCATACAAGAGGTACAGCAACAAAGAAAATGTTTGGTTCTGCACGTTGTATTGTCCCGATACTTGCACTCTGGTAGAAGAGGCAAAAACACTTCTAAATACGATAACTAAGAAACTAGCGTCGAAAGTCAAAGTCGATAACTGTGATGGTGATAACTACACGGCATCCATAGACACACGGATAGCTGTTAAAAATTTTAAGAACGTTCCTCGACAAGCTGTAAGTCCGAGGCATAGACTATCTACTAGGTTTGCTGACAGTGACTTAGAAAAGACTACACCAATTAGGGTGAATAGAGTATCTTCCGGCTTTCACATCTCCAGAGCTGGCAGGTACAGTCTGAGGACTACGTCTACTTCAGTTGAAAGAAAAATGAATGGAGCACTCTCAGTGCCAACTACGGAACCAAGCAAGCCGCAGGTCACACTCAGTTTGGCAACCCAGCCATTGACAGGAACTGAACATAATCGGAAGCAAGTCCGTTCCGAAGGCTGTCAGCGCCAAGGCCACTTGACAGGCAATAATAAGCCTTGCACACCCTATTCTGAAAAATGGCAAGTGACTGAGTCTAAACGGCATGCTAAGAAACTAATAACGGTCACCAAGCCACATATCATCACCCACAGTGTAAAGATAGTGTAGAGATCCCGGCAGATCCGTAATCTTCCACAGAGTGGAAGAAAGTAGATATCCGGAACCATGCAAACGTTTTGAACATGACCTTGGCGAGGTGCAAAGTTTGATAGACCAGCTTTCACCAGAAAGCATGCCACGAGTCACCCTGCTCAAGATATATGAATTAGGCGAACAGGAGACAGCCATTACTAAAAACAAGTTTCGGCTATTTAAAGTCGTGTTCAAGTCGGCAGATGAGAAGGATCAGATTCTGAAGAATGTTCACAGACTTCAAGGATCCCGTGTTCGCGTGAAAGGATCTGACTCTTGCTGATTGAATTGGAAAATGAGGAGCAGAAGCAGAACTAAAACCCAGAATGGCGGCGGAAGAGCAAGATCTGAAGGTAATGGGCGTTTGTGGAGCGAGATTTTGGAAACAAATGATGCCGAAGCCTCCAAAGATAGTGTAGCGTCACACACCTCCACAAAATCAATAGCCTAGGGTTTGACGACTTTCGACATTAATGCTGGCCTTGATAGTTTAACTGGACTCGCTAAGCTGAAGGCACCCAGTCAAGCATTTTCCTCATTTGGCACGCTGTCATGTTACGTTGCACTGCTCGTATTCGACTCTCTAGCCAGTTAGTTGGAATGCATCGGTATTTTGGCACAAACATCCAAATATACTATTCCATCTGACTACGCTATCGTGTTCTTCCTTGCTCTCGTATTCGTGGGTATATAACAAGTCCGAATAATTAGTGATTGGTCTTTGCGTCTGTCAAGTTCGCACCAGGACAAATCCTAAAATAGGACGGAAACTCATTTAGATAGTTTCGTCGTCTTGTACACAAGTGCATATAGTCTTTCAAACAAGTGGACGGAGCCCAGTGATGTGACCACCAAAGAAAGTGTTGACACCGGTGCTATCTCTAAAACTTGGCTCTCTCCTTGGATCAGTGACTGTGAAACACACTCACGAGGATTCCTTCCTTTTAGAAGTGATATTCAAGCACACAAAAGTGGTGGTTTTCTTCCGTTACGTTAAGAATAGCTTAACTGTGAAAGCCATAGAACAGGTTGCACAAGAAAGTGGGGCATGTGAAGTGCTGTGCTGCCGACTTAAATGTCAGGGACAAGAGGTTAACATAGTCGTAACATATTGAGGTCCAGAACGTGAGGCAGCGGGCTCCATCTAGAATAAGTTGATCCTCTGGACAGATAAATGCCGATGCCTAGATGTAGGGGACGTCAAAGCGCCATGGGTTGATTTGGATAGATTAACAACAGAAGCATCATGTAACTTTTTTGATCTCAGGTTAGTGGAAACATCAATTTCCCTAGCCCTCGCATAGCCCACTAGGACAGCTACCAGATATGATCACCGTCATACTCCGCCAATCCTAGATCTAGAATTCTCAAACACGTGATGCATGCTTCCTCCGGAACCTTGCACTCCTGGTAAAAGTGGTCACTCTGCTATCATCTTCAGATTCACGCCACACACCTTGTACCAGGACGATACCTTAGCTAGACCCAATATATGGAAAGCGAGTATATGGGCTATTAACTTGGCAGCCTCTTCGGAGGACTGGACGGCCAGTCCGAAGGCCTCAGTTGGGGCCTTACGGCGCTCCTTCAAACACCCATGTGCACGAGTTACCCAATCGTTTATTCCGTGGACTGTCCCCTGGGGACAGTCCTCCCTGGATAAGCCGCGAAACCCGAATCTTGCTACGAAGTGAGAAAAAGTGTTGGAGTATTTCCCCCCGCCTCGGTACTCCCAAGGTGATGAAACATTACAAAAAAGCCTGAAATAAATGTATTGCTGCTACCGTCAGTCTCGAATATGCCTTGAAACACGTGTTGCCCAGGGTGCGTTGCAACATCCAAAGAGGCCATTTTCTAATGCATACCAAATAGAGGGCTGAGGTTTGAAAGTAGTCGCTGGTACTTATGGGTTGAAACTGGATTGGTGATTTACGGGTAGAAAACCCAAGCAGTAATCAGTTATGTTTATTAGCCGCTTGTAATGCACGTTCACGCTGTACAGATATATGCATTTGGGCGTCTGGCAAATGTAGCAGCCTAATACCACGTGCCTGAATCAGAAGACAGTCTATATTACTTCGTGCCGCCGGCTGTCAGGGAAACTTGTCCTTTTATCAGGGAAAAGCCTTTTTCATGTTTCATATTCGCTTTTTTTCTTTCCAGTTTCCATTATTTTGCTCGTGAACAGGACCCGCAGCAATGACTGTGCTGTCTGTCAGGTCAGCGTGGATTTCATCAGTCCTCACCGCTAGATGTGTTAGCAGGCAGTCTACGGCTTCTTTTTTGTGATATTCTGGGCCTTGAGTAATGATTATTTCAAAAATATTTCACAGGACAATATAACTGTCCCTGTGCCAAGTACTTAAGATTTCTTTTTTAGACAGACCTACTCCTAATGATTTATCATGACATAGACAACTACGCTCGGCAGGTAACCAATCGCCTCACACCTGTAACAGCTTGAAAATCCAAAGCAAAGAAGTGTATTTGTGAATGAACAGCAAAAGTCAAGGCGGGAGGATTTATATATATATGTATATATATATATATATATATAGAGAGAGAGAGAGAGAGAGAGAGAGAGAGAGAGAGCTGGTCTTAGCACATAATATACAGGCGATGCGTAAGCAGAGAGAACACTGCTTAGTCTTCCAGTAGAGTAGGTGAAATGACAGCTGGAACTCTGGGGCGACGGAGATGACTATTCATAAAACACTTAAACTCACCGAATTGTAACCTCTTATTAGCTCCATTTGCGCAGACAAAGATACAAGTCATCTATTCTCAAAAAGAAGTATCAGTGAACAGATAAACAACTTGTTAGTTTCAGCCATGTTGCAGTCAGAACGAAATTTGTGAATACTTCCCAAACGCTCATATCAAGTTTCAGCTAACTGGGTTCGGTTGTTTCAAAATTAGGTGTCATGTTCCTGACCGAAGACACTGAAAAATACTCAAACTCCGTGTTAGTAAATACGGCTTAGGCAGGGCGCGAGATCGACACACGACAGATAACCATGAAAGTCCTTAGAAAGGAATTTAAGGTTTTGGGAGTGAGTCCGCAATTATAAATATAGCCTGTAAGGGAGAGAAGGATCGGAAAATTAAGAAGCAATGTAATGGTTCAGATGGTTGTTGACGGAATAGAAGAAGCTTTTGCTTAACTGGCTTCCGCGTCTTCAGTCAGTGGATCACTACTACTTTCGGTTGTTAACCTATTGTATAAGTGAAGAAGGGTGAAAGTGGCGAAAAAAATGTGAAAATTCACTTAGTTCTTGGCAGATCCCAGACACACATCAAGTGGGTATCCAGTCAGCGTTTAAAAGACTGAGGCGAAGTAGCCTGGATCACATCTCCGAAAAGAGCGTTCCAGGGTTTAACAACTCTTAGGGAATAGAAGTTGTGCCTGACATTCGGCCTGCTATGTTCCAGGCTTCGTTTCTCTGCATGTCCTCTAAGATTAGCGCTGCAGCTAAGATTTAATAAGTGACGGAGTGGATGGCCAAGCGTGCTCAGAATGTTGTAGGTCGTTATCAAGTCACCTCTTAGCTTTCTGTATTCCAGAGGTACCGATCCAGCACAACCAGCCGTTCTTCGTATATTTTGGACCCGAGTCCTCGAACAAATTTTGTCGAACGCCCCTGGATGCGCTCTAAGCTCAGTTTGTGCTTCTGGAGATGAAGGGGGAAGACAGTGGTTCTGAACCCCAGGTGAGGCCGTATGAAGCCGTTGAAAATTCGGTGGAAGCATCTACGGTCGAATCGCCCGAAAATTCGTCTGAGAGTTACTAACTTCAAGTTCCTACGAAGTACATTTCTGCCACGGTTGGCATAGGATTTTAAGTCCTGGGGGACCAACAGGCCAAATCCTTTTCTGTCAGTGATGCTTCAAGTTCCATGCCGTCGAGACTATGTACACGAAGTGTATCATG